TGTTCAGCTCTCTTACTTACTCATTTCTTCCATTAGCATTAACATCTCTATACTGGAAAGTAAGTTTCAGAGTCTCTTCTGACATCTATTTTGGTCTTTCCCTTCTTTCTTTTCTTCTTAATGACCTTTTGCTTTCTTCTTGTATTATATTCTTAACATCATCCCGTAACTCCTCTGGTCTTTAATCATTAGTATGAAATGCTTCAAATATGTTTTTGAGATGATCTCTAAATTCAGGTGGGATATGTTCAATGTCATATTTTGGCTATCGTAGACTTATTTTAATTTTCCTCAGCTTAAGCCTGAACTTGCAAATGAGAAATTGATAGTGTTTTTCACTGTCTGCCCTTTCCTTGTTTTTGGGTGATTATATGAAGCTTTCCCACTGAATTTTCCCACAGATGTCATCAATTTGACTTCCATGTATTCCATCAGGTGAGATTCATGTGTATACTCATCTTTTGTATTGTTTAAATAAGGTATTTGCAACAAACAAGTCATTGTCCTTGCAAAATTCTAGCATGCTATCTCCAGCATTGTTCAGCATCGTCCCACCACCCGTCTGTCATTTTGTAGTGCTGTGATGGCTTCCATTTTGCTGTGAAGCTGGAAGTTATGCCACCAGTGTTTTTAATACCAGCAGGGCCATGCACTGTAAACAGGTTTCAGCTGAGCTTCTGGACTAAGACAGACTAGGATGGAGGAGAGGCAGAGTATTTCTTAATGTTTGGTGGTGATTACATGCCGTGGAGTCAGTTCCGACTCATAGCAACCCTGTACAGGGTTTCCGAGGCTGTAAATCTTTATGGGAGTAGAAGGCCTCATCTGTCTCCCAAGGAACAGCTGGTAGATTCGAACTGCTGACCCTGAGGTTAGCAGCCCGATTCATAACCACTATGCTACCAGAGCTCCTTAATGTTTAGCCACTATAAACCTTGTGAATTGCAGTGGGACACTGTTAGATAGCACCATAATATTGAATAGTACTTATTTTTGGTGGTCTTGTTAAGTGCCCTCTAGTTAAGGAACTCTGGTAGTGTAGTGGTTACGAATCGGGCTGCGAACCTCAGGGTCAGCAGTTCGAAACTACCAGCTGTTCTGTGGGAGAAAGATGAGGCTTTCTGCTCCCGTAAAAATTTACAGCGTCGGAAACTCTGTACAGGGTCGCTATGAGTCAGAACCGACTCCACGGCACACAACAACAACAACAACAACAGTCTGTTCTTACACATAGTGACCCTGTATAGGTTTTCTGAGAAGCGGCTGGTGAGTTTGAACTGCCAACCTTGTGGTTTAAAGCTACCTCGTGGTTGAGTGTTTATCCTACAGCGCCACACCAGGACTTCAAGAGTAAGTACATCAATAGCAAATTTAAGCAGAAATGAATGGTTTCTTGTTAACTTTATAGACATCTCTGACCTCTGGCCACTCTCTAAATTTTCCTTTTGAATAAAGTTTGAAACCCTGGTCTCACAAAGCAAGTTTGCGTTTGCAAGTAGATTTTCTTCCTCTCCCTGTAACTTACCTGTGCTCTGCTAGGTTTTCTGCTGGCAAATGCTACTGTGCTATATAGTTCAGCCTTCTCTTTTCACAGCCAGAAACAAAGACAGTTTGTCTGTCTCAGAGCAATTGCAGACAGACTGGTATAAACCGAACATCTTAAAGACCCCATAAGGTGAATTATTTTTCTGCTCAGCTATAATAATGAACCAGTGGTAGACAAAATGTATTAATAAAGCATCTTCTATCTTAAATGGATTTCTAAGTATTTTACTGTAGAGTTAATCATGTAAGTAGGTCCTTCGGGAAAGCCTGTTGTCATTACCCTCATTCCTAGATGCAAAAATATTAATGGTCATTTGTACCTACTTGGGAATTAAGTGCAAGGGCCAGAATTCGAATTTATCATGAAAGGAATCATCCCTGCCATTCTGAGGAGTGTAGGAAAATGATTCCAAAACCCAGAATGAACTCTCCTTTTCTCCGTGACTAGCATTTATTTTTCATTTCTTCTTGTCTGTCAGGAAAAAGGAAACCTTAAATTTAGCAAACTGAAAGTAAGCAAACAGAATCTCAAATCTTATATCTGGTCTCACATAGCATCTTAACTTTAAGTCATTTGATTTCCTATTCTAAAATTTCCCTCTGGAAGATAGAGATAATATATGGTCTGGACTATAAGATAAGCACTGGAATGATAACCTCAAGATTGGCAGTTCAAACCCACAAACCACTCCTCAGAAACTCTATACAGGGTTACTATGAGTGGGAACCAACTTGACAATGATCAACAAGAAGAATAGCATGGTGGTAAAGTAAGTTATTTCTTCTCCCTTTATAAAATATAAACAAAACTTCCTCACTTATTCCAGATATTATTATTTTTTATTGTAAAGTTATTTGATTCAGTCATAAATTGATCATTGATTTTTTTTTTGGGGGGGTGCTATATATCAGCAGAGTCCTAATATGACACTGTAGAATAAGCACAGGATAGCATGGCAGTTCTAACTGACCAGCCAATCCTCAGAAACCCTACACAGAGACACTATGAGTTGAAACCCACTTTATGGCATGTAACTACAACAACATATATCAAATGATCCTCAGTGGCCAAAAGTATGTGGATTTCACTGAACATTTTTAATACCAGGAAAAGTCATCAGAGGAGATGAGGGAAAAAACAGCCTACTGTTTAATTATTCAAAGTATTTTGAGATCTTTTGTGCAAAGTTGCTCAACTTTTCATGGCTTACATCATTCTGGTCAGCTACTAAAGTGGAAAAGGAGGTGTGATTAGCCTATGTCACCTCAGACCTTGACCTTCCATATCACAAAGTCTATTTACATTGTAATTCTCTAAAGTAATAGTAGGGAAAGGGCATGCAGGAGGTTGAAATGTTTATCTTGTCTCTAAATTGTTGGCTATATGTATGCGATTGTTACTGCTGGGAAGGCAGGAGGACTTTGTGTGGCACCTGCCCTTATCATTTGAGTTGGTGTCTTTTGTTCTGAATGTCACTGGGGAAGAATCTTCACTGTTAACAGCTGAGGGGGTTGACAGCGGGGAGAAGAAATTCTTGATTTGAATGAGATCGAACGTGTAAGGAGAACAAAGTCAGTAGCCACCTCTCTCACCCCAGGGAGAATTGGGTCAGTGATGGAAGCTTCCATGCAGGAATTCCTAATTGGGATCCACTATCATAGCACTAAGGAGCTCTGGTAGCGTAGTGGTTACGAACCGGGCTGCGAACCGCAAGGTCAGCAGTTCGAAACTATCAGCTGTTCCGCAGGAGAAGGATGAGGCTTTCTGCTCCCGTAAAGATTTACAGCCTCAGAAACCCTGTACAGGGTCGCTATGAGTTGGAACCGACTCCACCGCACATAACAACAACAACACAATCATAACATTACTACCGTGTTGGTTGCGCGGCTCTGTGTACCTCCTGCGCAAGGTCTAGGCCCAGGAAGGAGAAGGCACTACTTTCATCAAAGTTATAGTTTAGTGAGAAGTAACAATGCAGGTACAAGGTACCAGCAGTAGTGGAGAAGGGGAAGTGACAGGTGCTGAGGATGGAGGCAAATCTAGTTTACCTAGATTTGGGTCTTAAGAATTGAAACCCACACCACTTAAAGATGAAATCACACTTAAAGGAGTGTGAAACCCAGGTAACTTGGGAGCTCGCTGTAGAAATAATGCAAGTGGCTCACACTCAGCCATGCCAGTAAGCACTCTTGCTGGAGGACTAGCATCTGTTCTTGTCTTCAAACTCTAGAATAAAGGACGTACGTAAGTCAGTCTCAAAATTTAAGCAAAATGGGACTGTGATTTTTGCCAGTTTTGTACACTATGAGCTTCTGTGATTTGTTTGTTTTATATATTGAATGGTGTTAGCTCCATCTCTGGTGTTTTTAAGGAGCTTTTTTTTTGGAAAGGTGGAGGGCTGATAGGGTGGACGTTGCACTACTGAATACACTTTGATTAATCTAACACCTGGGTTTCCTCTAAATGCTAATGAACTTATCTAATCATTTTAAAAGTACATGTTGCAGTGATTCCTTCACCTAGTTAGTCTGTAACCTTTATTATGATATGTCGGGTCTATAAAGAATGTAGGGTGATTTCGTTTTAATTTCGAAGTGACAGCTCTTCCAGGGAGGCAAATGGTTAAAGCCCGACTGGGCTCCAGCGCCGCGGTGGTTAAGCAGGGGCTGGGCGCTCGGCGTTCACTCGTGTAGGTTCCGGTGCTATGTCTGCACAGGGCGCGCGCTCCAGGATCCGCGTCGGAAGAGAGTGGTGGTCAGTGATGGAGCTGCTGCCATGACAACCCTGAAAGTCCGTACCAGTACGAGGCGGGGACGCTCCTGGGAGGAAGGCGGCGCTGAGCCCGGGGGCCGCCGCTGAGCTAGGCGTCCCCCGTGCGGCCGCCGGTCGCCGCTGCGTATCACCCTCCGAGCCGGGAAGGAGCAGCGCAGGGGCTGGCGCGCAGGTCGGATAGCGTCCGCGGTCCCTGCTCGCCACGCTGCAGCTGAGGAAGGTCTGGCAGCCAGGGAGGCGGAGTGTGCACGGGTGTCGAGTGCGTCCTGGTGTCGGATGTGCACTGGTGTCCAGCAAGTGGACGAGGCAGCGGCGGCAGGATCGGAGGCCGAATTGCAGGCAGCCTCTGCTTGGCGTCGCCCTCTCCTCCGCGCGCTCCCCCACGGTTCCATCGTGGTGTACTTTCTCTGCTATTGTGACCGATTTGCTCCTGGCGGCCAGCCTGCCTCTGAAACTTACAAAGAAAGTGTTGGTTTTTCGCCCTCCTTGGAACTGAGGCATCACAGACCACCTTTGGGCAACTGAATTCAACCCACCCCAATCCTCTTCTTGGTACCAAAGTGCTTACACCTCTCCAAAGTGCCATGTCTCAACTATTAACGGGAAGAACCGGCTCCTAAAACGTGCCCACACCTGCCTTCCGCTCCCCGTCATCTGCACCTTCCCTAGCCGGAGTGGCCCCTTCGGATGTCCTCTGTGGAAACTGGCTTGTGGAGGCTGGGGAGCTAAGGCTGGGTTTTGGGGAGGAATACTCGACTTGAAGGCGCGCTTTCCTCTTCCTGGCTCCTCGTGGTCACCAGTAGCTCTCCGCAAAGTCCCTCTTCTCCCCTTCCCACTTCCTGTGCTCGCTGGGGCGTTTGCTGTGCTGCTGCTGAGTTCTGGGAAGTTGTGTCTGTCGAGGATGGGGGTCTATGGGTGCCTGTTCGTGCCCTGGAAGTGCCTCGTGGTCCTGTCTCTCAGGCTGCTGTTCCTTGTACCCACAGGAGTGCCCGTGCGCAGTGGAGATGCCACCTTCCCCAAAGCTATGGACAACGTGACGGTCCGGCAAGGGGAGAGCGCCACCCTCAGGTAGGGAGCTGCCATTTGTCTGTGAATTGAGGATGATTTGTATGGGGGGGGGCGGGTGAGGGGCAAGAGTGCAGGCCCCTGGGTTGGAGTTTGCCAGACAGGCGTTCTCCTCTTGTCTTTGGTTTCCTGGGTTTCAAGGTTCATGAATGCTCTTGTGCTTTGTCCCTGGGATGTGGTAGTCCAAGGAGAACAGCTCATTTCCAAAACAGATCCTCTTGGCATAGGGAACTTGGTAAGAATGAGGGGCAGAAAGCTCAGAGAGTCACTGAGAGTAAAGAAGTGGCCTGCACTATCTTGCTAGCTAGCCTGGTGACTGGGGGCGCTGGGCACTGCCTGGGTATCCACATAGAAAGTCTCTGAAGTTAATGAGTCCCAAAGGGCAGTTCTGGCTTGGTCCAAATGCCCTCACTCTACTGATGCCAAGGTCCATTGCCAACCTGGGCCTCTGTATGCCTGGCACAACCATTGCTTTGTCCTGGGTCTAGCTGTGCCTGGGCTCTCCTGGGGGACTTGGATGCCATGAGCTGTTGGGCAGAATTGGTGTTTTCTTCCATCTGAAAGTCTATTTGTGATGTTGAAGTTATGGAGATGAGGAAGCTAGCATTTACCCTTGTTGACTGTGCTTGATTCGTGCTATCCACCAAAGCAATAGTACAAAGCTCATCAACTGAATGGAAACTAGATTTGTGCTGTGTTGAGTCCTGATTGCCTTCCTGGGTTAAGGCTTACAGGAATTGGGGAGGAGGAGGGGAAGTATCTGGGCTGTGCTTTGTGTAAGGTAGAGCAATCCCACCTCCCTGATTACCCTGCTTACAGAAAAGCTAACTCAATATCCAGTGTCTACAAACTGCACCACTCAAAGACAGGCAACACAGAATTAGTGATGCCATGGGAAATTTTTTTCTCTGGGATTTTATGAGAGTAAGCACGAGGTGGGAGTCCTGGTGTGGAGCTGTAGGAAAAGTACTAACCAGCTAACCACAGGAGTCCTGGTGTGGCGCTGTGGTCTAATGCATCAGAATGCAAAGTCCTTTGAACTGCAAGGTCGGTGGTTCAAACTCACCAGCTGCCCCTTGGAAACCCTATACAAGATCGCTGTGGGTTGGAATCGACTCAATGGCACTTAACAACAACAACAAACTAACCACAAGGTTAGTGGTCAAACTCACCAGCAACTCCTCAAGGCTATTAGTCAGACCCGACTGCATGGCCCTTAACAACAACAACAAGAAGTAAAAGTTACGTACAAACAGATCCATGAGTGACCTATTTCCTACCTCTCTGTGAGCATTCCCTCTTAAAAGAAAGTTTTCCAAACAGGACAGTTGAACTAATCAGAAAGCAACATTCCCTTTCTGTTGCTGGAATCCTGTGTTTTGGCCCTGATGATTGCTTGTGGATTGTACATTAAGGCAGTACCCACAGGATGGAAAAGGTTGAGGTGAGGGACCCTGGTAATACACAGCTGAATTGCCAAGAAATTGCCACGGAAGAGTGTAACTTAATAGATCCCTGCAACCCATGATAGGGGAGTTAACCCTAAAGGCCCTGGAAAATGCCTAGTTACTAATTGGTTCACAAACCCTGCCCTTCACTTCAGTTCTTTAGAAACTGTGTTGAACACAGGTTAAATATGAGTATGTATCAATTCTATTTGGTTTGTAAAGGGATTTCAGGGAAGCTCCAAATATTCAGTTATTTCACACTACTTCAGAACAAAAGCACAAATGAACTGTTAAAGCAATGCAGTCAATGAAATTCAGTGGTTCTCTGGGTGTACCTTTCTTTCTTTGTCCCTACCCCTGGGCAAGGAAGAGCCCATAGGGGATAAAATGGAGAAAGCCTCTGAGGGAGACCTTTTAGAATTAAATGGGATTGTTTTCTCAAGGAGGAAGCAAAAGTTAGCTCTGTGGAGATTTGAAGAACAAGAAATAATAAGGGGGCCTGACTGGTGGTCACTTCCACATTAATAGTGGGGGAAAAAAATGAAAGGGTTGGAGAGGATTGAGACTTGTTTCTAGAAGGTAGCCCCCAGAGCACATGGCAATCAGTCCTCTCCAGAGAGTGGCTGAATTCAGCAAACAGTAAGCAGGAGACAGGTCTACACTATGAGCAGCTTCTCTTTACAATTGTGTATCATTGTCCTGGCTGGCCTCTCCTTTCTTTGTCTTTCTTCCCATGTTTCTTCTTTTCTCCTGGTTTCTTGCAGGCACTAATAGCACCTTGCATTTTCCCATGAGCTCTAGTCACAGTAGACTTGTTTGGATATGGATGAAGGTAGAGGGATGTGTAAGTGGGAATGAGGAGCTCCCTCACTAAATCCTGTAATTGTCCCAGCCTAACCCTGGCGTAAGAAGGCGCTCTTGGAGCTCCAGGGATGAATCTTCCTGATTTAGAGGAGGGAGGACCCTGACAGTGGATGGAGCCACACAAAGCAATGGTCAGATGAGTTAGGGCATGACCAATGCCAGCTGTGGCTGTGGGCCTGGTTGAGGATGTAAATGAGCACCAGGTCTATTAGGCAGCATATGCAGGAAACTCACAGGACCTCAGCACCTTACGTTCTTTCTCAGACAAGATGCCCTGGGAGTAGTAAGGGCTGCCTTGCTGGCATATAATTCTGTAGAATGGAATCCAGTGAACTCTTAAACCCAGTCTCCGTGTTTTATGATCTTGTGTGCAGGAGGGCAAGTAACAAATACAAAATGTTTTTCTGTTTTTATAAAATTTGATAAATTTACCCGAAAACTGATTTCAAAGAGGAATACAATTTTGCAAATGGATTCCTGATGTGGTGCTGTGGGATCAGCACTGGACTGTAAACCAGAGGGTCGGCAGTTCAAATCCTTGGGAACCCTATTCAGAGTTGTTATGAGTGGGAAACAACTCGACAGCACTTAACAATAACAACAAACAAGTGGTCTAGGGTTCTCGGCCATTTACTTTTCTTTTTCTTTTTATTATCAGGAGAGAGAGGATATCACTTCTTCTTTCTGCCTTTGCTAAACGTGTGCCCATACTGCACAGAACATCAGTGGTGGGTCCCCCTAACTAGAAGACCACACTAGCCACATTGTTGTGATGGTGGGGATGCTTGCAGTTTCCCTTATAACCAGCAGAGGACTTTTTGCTCTCATTTCATTTTCTGCTTTGTTCTCACCAGTTTTATTTTTTGAAAATTTTGTTTTACTAGTTCTCAAAGAATAAATGTTTCAGCAGCAGATTCTAATGTGAGGAAACTTCCAAAGATGTTTTATTTCATCCAATTAGCTCTAATGATCCTGCTGGAGATTTCAGACACCTTTTGCCTAACATGGCACTGACAACCTAAAGACAATTGTAAATAATTTGAAATCTCCCACTCTTCTTTCCCTCCTGCTGATGTTCTATATTAATATTTTTATAGTTACATAAAACAGAATGTGCACAAATAATATTAACCCTACTGTTACAAAATATCCTAAATATTTTAGACAAGGGAATTTTTTTAAGTTCATGGAAAAATTCCATTATCTTTTAACTTCAGATTTCCATCAACTTTTTGAAGCTCCCTTATATATTGCCCTCATTTAACCTTATAACGTTAACATTTCACTCTAAGTTAACCCAAATAATAACCCTCTGATGCAGGTGCTAGTTTTTATTCCATTTTATAGATGAGCAAAGTGAGGTATAGCAAATTTAAGGTGATTTGACTAAAATTCTACAGCAAGGAAATTTCGATGCCAGAATAAAAGCACTAATAGTAACAAAATGAATAGTACTTTCAATCAACTATTGATCAGTGACTATATTAAGCATTTCATTCAATGCCTTCAGTGTGTCTTTAAAATAGATCCAATGAACTTCATTTAACATGAGAAAATGCAGTCACAGAGAGAAAAATTGACCTAAAATCACATATAGCAAGTAGCAGTACTGAAATTCTGACTCAGGACTTTGATTCTTGTCTTTGTCTTTACCAAGCTTTCTTACAATGGCTCAGGGCCCATTGAATTCTAAAGTTCTCCTTGTTCCCTGATAATGCATAATGCCTGCTGTACTCATCTTGGCTTAGACCTTGTCTTGTAATATTTAACTTGCATTCTTCTTTTGACACGTGAATTGGAGAACAGCTCTTGGAAAGCAGGGATCATGTCTTATAATGCCAAGAGCACTATGTGCTCACAAATGTTTACTGAACAGATGGAATGAATGAAAACAAAACAAAAATCTTCTATATTCTATCATCTATTGTCTCTCCACCACAGTTCTCTTTTATTTTATTTAAAAATACAACTGTGGTCAGCCACTCAGTAGGGTGTTGGGGTGTAAAAAAGATAGAAGAGGTAGACTTTATTCTTAGTGGACTTGACTCCAACTCAAAAGGTCAGACAGATGGACAGAAGATAATACTCTGAGGCAAGGTGTGCCCATTAGCAAATGAATGATAGCTTCTCCCTGCCTTCAGAGGAGAGCTCCAGGGGCCCTCAGAGCAGAGGCATGTGCAGGGCCAGACTGAGCTAGTCTGAAGAGCAGGTGGGCAGTAGTGTGGATGTCATTTAGGAAGCATGAAAGCTTCTCTTGCCAATCTTGGTAGATGTACTTCATGCTTTCATGGATTCTCCAAATAAGCAGCCTACTAGTAGAGTGAATTATTGCCTTGGAATCATCTGATAAGAGAGTGGCAGAGGCTGAGCCGTACCTTCTGTCATATGTCTAGACTGTAGGTTTGCAATGGAACATTTTTCTAGGATGAATTAAAAATAAAAGGTCTGAGAAATATACAAGATTTGAGTTAGGTTTTGAGATGACATTTCCATGGAATAGTGCAAAATTACTATATTTAAGGGGACCCAGGAAGTCACCTGCTAGATTTAGGATGCTGTGGTACTTTGTTCATCTCCTGTAAAGCACTTAGCACTTCATTTTATAAGCAGATAGATCCTCTGTTGGTCTTTGCAGGTACTGCATGAGAACTATGCCTTAAGGGGAGAACACTGCCTTATTCAGGTTTGCAC